ATATTGTTTAACAGTAAAAAAAAAAAGAAAAAAACCATGTTAAGTACACATAGGCGACAAAGTAGATTAGAATACAAGTTAAGAACATGATAAATTCATGTACCATAACTCTTTTTAAACTTCCTGAGAAGGATGTATTGTGATTCGTCCCAACTCTTTGATCTGTTCAGCATAAGTTTTATGAATTCAACTTCAGCTCTAGTCCCCGAAACCTCGAACATTTCCACAAATTCTAATTTATCAAATACAATGCACTCAATGTTCTTCCATAAACACGTGTCTTGTCCAAATGCTAAGCATATCTACAAATTGAATTAAAAAAAAGTTAGAGGTTTAGAATGTCACATATTACAGAATATAGAGAAAAAAAATGTTGAAAAAGAAAAAAGCTTACAGTTATCTCTAATGAAGTCAAATTTGAAGAATAATAATCGATATGAGACTTAGCTTAAAGAGACAATATGAGACTCAGATAATATATAAGTTCATAAAATATAACATGTTTACCCAATAATCGATGTGGGACTTAACTTAAAGAGATGACTTGACTTAATGTATGTGTTTCAGTAGGATATCTAGGGGAAGGAGAAAAATAACATAATATAGGTTTCAATAAAAATAAGAGTCTCTATGGTGAGACCTCTTAAAAAAAATCCATTGATAAAACATCTTATTTTAACTTTTGACATGAAATAAGAAATCGAAGGAGATCCTTTTTGACGTGGAAAAAAAAAAGTTAAAGAGTTCATACAAAGGGGAAGCAAACCACCCACGAGAGAGGATTGAACGCCAAAAGTTTCATGTGAATACACTTCTATGGCTTGTGTAGTCATTAAATCTAGAAAATTACCTTCTATATTCTTCGTTAGACCTAGAGAAAGGTTAGAGATTCTCAGTTATCAATTTGGATAATAAAGTTAATTAATAAGCAGGGGTGGAACTACATTAGGCACTGTTTGGCTCCAATGGCTCCTTTTATTTTTACCTCTAAAAAATTTTCTTTTACTATTTTTATTACAATTTGCCTACCTGAAAACTTCAAAAATGCAATATTGAGGCACAATTTTTTAATAATTTTAGTTATACCTCTACTTTTGACTTTAAAGTATACTGATATTTCAAACTTAAAATCCGAAATAAACTAAAAATCAACTATAGTACTATGAAAGCTTTATGTTTGGGACTTTAAATTTCTAAAAACTCAATTTATATTACAAATTTAGTTCATTTGGAAGAAGAATTAAAAAGATAAAAAGTATGCACAATGAAGGTAAGTAGAGAGATAAATTTAAGAAACTATCGTTGCGTTGAACACAACGCCTCTTGAAAAAAACTTCTTGGCTCCACCACTGTTAATAAGGATACAAGAATCAAGACGAATTAGTTATGTTGAAATCAAAAACCCTAGAATTTGGTTAATTAAGTCTTCATTTTTTTTTGGGGTAAGTTTTCATCTATTTGATTATGCTATTGTTTTCTTCTAGTTATAGTTTACTTTAAAAAAAAATCCTTAATATAAACTTCCTTTAAAATTATACAAATAAAACTAGAAGTATATTAGTATGAATCATCAATCTTTGAAGGAACAACAATCTAGTCACTCTTTATTACTTGTTTGCGAAAACATGCACTTCAGTTTAAAAAATTCACAATATTGTCACGCTAGTCGCATATCTAGGGCAGCACTGGGTTTTGCTAAGACGAGGGCGGCATTGCGGAATGGGTTTGACGCCAAGTTAGTGAAGGTTTGTTGCCATCACAAGGTTTGCGGCACTCAGCGGAGGCGGAGTGGGATATAATTGCAAGATCTGGATTAGTTTTGCTTATTGCCAAACAACATAATGATTTTAACTTTTTTAATTAATTTTTTTTCCTATCAAACCTAGATTTTGTGATGGATTGTTACTTATCTTGATCCTGGCCTTATTCAATTTGTTTAAATCGTTTGGGTTTCGGTTTGTTTGTTTGTTTGTTTTTTATGAGTGAGCTTTCATTAAGAAACAAACCAAGCTCGGTACAAAGCAAAACCAAAACGTGAGTAGTGAAACAAAGCAGACAAAACGGCCGAAGGTTCTCAACAATGCAAGCAGCAGAAAGTAAGAATAATTATTTGGCAAAAAAATAAATAAAAGTAGGGCTGAAAATAAAAAAATAAAAAAACACAAACAACAAACATTAAAAGATAATTTGTATTTTTTATTTTTTTTTTAAAAAGAGAGGAGGATTTGGAGAAAGAGAGGGAGGAAAACAAAACAAGTTTTTTAACCTTCCAAAAATATTTGGTGAGAACCACCTATGTTAAAATATCCCTACCAACAGCAGCTACGTAGAGGGCCACCTCATGTGATGCAGTGCACCTCTTTCCTGAGCTTTAAGCCTTTAACAGCTCCCAATCTTTTTTTTTTTTTAATTCTAATTCTATTATTATTATTATTATTATTTGAGGAAACTAACTCCCAATCCATATATCATGATCACGGCCAATTGAACATCGCAAAATATATTATCCTCCATGGGGTTAATTTCAATAATAGTAGTCATGAATAAATTATTATTAATTTTAGCATTATTTTTGTATATTTTCACAACTAGCATTATCATGTCAGTAATGTGAGGTCAAATGACTTTTATGTCACTCAGGTCAAAATTATCATTTAAAAGTACCTTAAAGAAATTCTCAACTCTCTCTCGCCCATTCTCTCTCTACACCTCATTTTCAGCTCTCTCTCTCTCTCTCTCTCTCTCTCTCTCTCTCTCTCAAAATATATTATCCTCCGTGGGGTTAATTTCAATAATAGCACTCATGAATAAATTATTATTAATTTTAGCACAATTTTTGTATATTTTCACAACTAGCATTGTCATGTTAGCAATGTATGGTAAAGTGACTTCTATGCTACTTAAATCAAAATTATCATTTAAAAGCACCTCAAAGAAACTCTCAACTCCCTCCCACCCATTCTCTCTCTCTACACCCCATTTTCAACTCTCTCTCTCTCAAGTTTGGCATCTCTCTCTTCCCTACGCCTTTATTCCCTCGTTGCCAATACTCCGATTGTGCACAGATCGAGGTTGGTACACAATTTTTTTTGTTTTTCTTTTATTTTTGTCTTTTTAAATTTATTTTTCAGGAGACTTAGTACATAGAACTTGAAAAAAATGACTGGATTGAACTTAATGTGATAGGAATTGAAAATATCCTTCGTCAATTTGAGATTTTAGATGGTTTATAATTGATATATAAACTGATTGTAACAACCTACACGTCAAAGACATAGTTGACCTTGGGTTATGACTCATAGTGTTATATGTCCGATCATAATACTATGACCAGTCAGTCATAACAGTATGAGTCATTGTTTATGAGTCAATATGGCCGGTCAATATATTATGACCGTAAGGCAGTCATAGTGATATGACCGTCCGGTCATTATATTATGACTGAAATGACTCATAGTGTTATGACTGGCATACTATAACTGCCTTATGACCGGCCATTACACAGTGTTATGACTGACCATTTCTAATGACTCAACGATGACTAGGAGTAATTGCATGTTGATTAACAGTTATTGTTTTTGAAATTATTTAAGAATGACTGCTGGATTGAATGTCTTCATCAAGTACAATGGATATTCGGACCGTGTTTCGAGATACGTCGGTTGTGAAATGAAGGGGATATTGGTCCCCACCAACACAACTTATATTAGTCTTATAGATTTGGTGAGAAATATGCTTGGGATTCGGCCACAAGGAAAAAGTTTATCCTTAAGATATGTTGTTGAAGACGGGGAAGCTCCTGTGAAGATATTATCTGACTATGATGTCACATTCTATCAACGACATCTCTTCCTACAAAGCCTTTCTTTTCTTATAAGATGTTAAAAAATGGTAAAAAAAAAAAACAATAAATACAAAAAAAACAAGAAAAATAAATAAAATTGTTAACCAAAGTATTATGAATGGCACACTAAGAGTCTGACCATTGAGCTGTCATAGTACTATGACTGACGGTTATAATTCTATAACCGCCCATCATGTAAGCTCGCTCATAGTGTTATGACTGATGGCCGGTCATAAGACAGTCACATAGTGCGATCACAGTACTATGACCGACGGGCATAATGCTATGACCGCAGGCTCATCAGTCAGGCAGTCACACTATGAGCCTGCCTGCCTGATGGTTAGTTATAGAATTATGACCATCGGTCATAGTACTATGACCGCACACTGTGCTTGTCTTATGACCGGTCATAATACAATTATCGACCGGTCATAATGATATGACCGCCCATCAGACAGAGTCACAGACCAAATAAGGAGCACAATGACAATAAAAATTTTAAATAACTAATCTTATCTGCTTTTATCTCCTCCTCTAAAGCCTTTCTTTTCTTCTAAGATGACAAAAAATGGTAAAAGAAAAAAAATAATAAATACCTAAGAAAAAAAAAATAAACAAGAAAAGCCAACAAAATTTTCACATTTGTCTCGGAATCCGCCATTGACCTCGTCTGTTTCGTGGTTGATTTCTCCAACGAAGAATGTTAGGAGGGTGAGGTTTCCTTGGTTCGTGCTTCTGAGTTAGGCGTTGATTTCTCCGACGAAGGTTCATGGGTTCTTGTCACGTGATTTTGGGTTCGTGGGTTCTCACTGCATGGGTGCTTGCTAACGTGGGTTCTCGTTGTCGTGGGTTCTCACTGTCGTGGGTTCGTCAGTGCTCAAGGTAGTAGACGGTGGTAGATGGTGGTAGTCGTTGGAGTTTCTTGATCTCTGTGCACACCCGCGTTCGTTCTCCTCCTCTCTCTACTTTCAATATTGGAATTATAAAAGGTTTCATAATATATATTCAAGACTTTAAAACTGAAATGAAGCACCATTGTCATTTTAATTCAAATAAAAATAGTCTGGTCCCACTTTTGTTGACATGAAAATAATAATTGTGAAAGTATACAAAAGTGATGCTAAAATTAATAATCATTTATTGAAATTAACCCTTATCCATGTCGTTTATAATACTGTAAAAACGACATATGTAATACAAAATGCCAAAAATATATCATTCGTCTACTAGTTACAATTACAAACGGCATATCGTTTTCAGTAAAAACATATATCATCTAACAGAGCTCTAACTAAAGAAAAATTAGGAAAAAAGGTGCTCCATGAAGGTTGACCTCATTCTTTTACTCCTGTACATGCATGTTTCTGAGAGACATGTTCATCTCCAAATTCTCTTCCACAAATCCTATTGCAGAATAAATAAATGTTAAGTACACATAGGCGACAAAGTAGATTAGAATACAAGTTAGGAACATGATAAATGCACATACCACAATTCTTTTCAAAATTAGAGGGCCTCGTGTCTCTATAAACAATGATCAGAAGCTTTTTCCACGCCATTTGACTTGTAAGGAGCAATATTGTGAATTTCCGACTGAAGCGGCCCGAGCAAATCATTCTCAATGCAATCGTACCTGCAAATAATCAAAGTTGTCAAGCCCAACAACTTATTATTGTTCGTTGTTAATGTCAAACTTAATGTGTAAGCTTATTTGTGTTCCTGAGTACTTAGATTTAGTTCTTATAGACATCCGAGGAAAACTTACAAGTTTTTGCACAGCTTATCAGTAACTGCCGAGTGATTAACTATCTGCATTTTCAACTTCATAAGACTGTCCTCCTCGTAAAACTCAAAAGGTTTCTCTAGTAACGAAGAAAGCCTTTCAATGTTTTCCACAAGCTGCTGCAGGTGAGCATCAAATATGTTTTGCTTTATTCTTATCTCCTGCTTCGGCATGTCATGATCTTTGAATAGTACAGGACCAAACATGCAATATGCAAACGGGTATGTAAATGAAAGAATCCTCCTTGCTTTGGAGACTCTGTTGAAAGCATCAAACACCCAACAAAAAACCCTAGATTTAAAATAGTTTTCACGGAAAAGAAATATCATGTCTTCTGCAGCTTGCTTCAGCTTCCTTTCAAGATCAAAAGTTTGTGTTTGGTCTCTATAACGGTGGTGGTAGTGAAGGTAATACCATATGTCCTTGTTTCTATGCCTAATTTTCACCTGCTTTTCTTTTTGGAAACCTCCACAACTATCATAAGCATGGCGACCGCAAAGCAAACTACAAAATAGAGAATAGATAAATATATATATATATATATACACACACACACATACATGGTAGACCAACACCCTGCGGACTACATTCTTTCGTGTCATGAATTCTTAAATATAAACAATTGCTACCAACTCTAAAATGTATAGACAAACATGATCTTTATTAACAAACCAACCAGACACGAGAAAAACAACGAGTCATTCACATCCAAGAATGTAACAAATACAGTTACAAAAACCATATCAAGTTCTTAGCAAACAAAAAAGGCTATTTTGTATGAACAAACCCTGAACTTTTCGAATTTAGCATTTTAGTTCCTAAACTTTTTTTTTTCTGGCAATTAACACCTCAAACTTTTGATTTTTGGCACTTTTAGTCCTTGTTGCTTAAATTTGTTATATTTTTGTGCCAAACTTACAAGTAACAGTTTAAGAAGTAGATTGATGATTATTTTTTATTGGTATTAATAAAATTTCATTTTAAAATTTAGAAATGAGGTTTAAGTTATGATTAAATTAAATTCCAGATTTTAATTGCATTTGTATTGGAACTAAATAAAAATGATCATCAATGCGCTTCTTAGACTGTCAATTGTAAGTTTGGCACAAAAAACCATAAAAATTTTAACGAATTTGAGCAATAAGGACTAAAAGTGCTAAAAATTAAAAGTTCAGGGTGTTAATTGCCAAGAAAAACAAGTTTAAAGACTAAATTGCCAAATTCAAGAAGTTTCGGTGGTGTTCGTACAAAATAGCCAACAAAAAAACAAAAAACAGAAAACATACCAAGGACAGATCCTGCAATTCTTATTTTTTCATAAGAGAAAGGTCCAAAAAGTCTTATGACTAACCAGTACTAGAGTTTTAATAGCCACTCATTAGCAAGATACTGAAAGTTTGAAACATATTACCATTTAGTACGTAATGCTCATGCACTCTTGTTCCCAATCAAAAACAGAAGACCCAAATTCAATAAATTGTTCGTATGTGAAAAGTATGAGGATATAAGAGTGCTCACCAAAACGGTTCTCCAGAAACGAAGGTCCTTAAGTCACATTCTCCATCCTTTTCAAACAGCTCGTAGCATTCTGGACAAATCTTTGTCTGTTCTAAAATACATTTCACCGTCTCTGATTTTCCCTGGCAACTCTTATTCCACAGTTCCCACATTAGACATGAACAAGGCGAGTGGGCTTCAGATAAGCATTTGAAACAGAATTGTAGACCGCATGCACATTCAACCTCACATAAAACATTGCCATCAACACGTATAGCATTGCCACAATGAGGAACACTTGGACACCACTTAACCTTTCTATTAGCCTCAATATATGATTCCAGAAGAAGCTGGTCAAACTTCTCTGCCAAATGAGGATCTCTGGTACTGACTAGTGTCCTGACTTTAGATATATCACAAATTGCGTTGCATTGATGTGCCATACATCTGATTTGCTCGCTCTGGCTCTCATTTATCTTTGAAATAAAGTGCTCTGTCCAACCTGAGCAGAGAATACCAAAAAAAAAAAAAGGAAAATATTTAATGCACAAATATTATCAAGTCAAATGGAAGATAGTCCAAAAGGACTTAAGATAAGACCAGAGTTTCCAGTTATCTTTCACTCACAAGTGTTGCAAAAGTAATGACCGCATTCCATGGTAGTGACTTTGTTACCAGGAACTTCTTTGACGCAAATCATGCACATTACGCTGGATGAAAACATGAATGAGAAAAGATCTTCATTACGCTCCATTAGGGTCACACCTGCTTCAGCATATACTTCATCTTCCCCTTTCTCCACAAGAACGGACAGTAACTTTTCAACATCCCAACTATAATGAATGAGTAAAGACCAGGCATCATGCTCTTTCAATGATAGTACGTCCATCACCCTCAGCAAATCATCCCTCTGCGTAGTTCAAAAGCAATTATGGCATTAACTTTACCGTGGCCCAACAAAGGCATAACAAAAAAAAAAAAGTTCGAATCTTTTTGTGATACCTGAGCAGCCAAGAGAGACTCTTTGCTGATAACCTGCAAAAGAGTGCATCATAAAAAATAAATAAAAAAAACAAAACAAAAGAAAAACAAAAAACAAAAAACAAAAAACAAAAACAAAAACAAAAACGAAAACGAAAAACAAAAAACTTGCATCCAAATACTGAGAAGAAAAAGGATTTTTCTTTTTTTCAATTTTAGAACATCGAAACTGGTACGTATTGTTTATACCAAAAAAAAAAAAAAAAACCGATAGCAGGGAAGCAGTTTTCGGGGAAAAAGCACAGGAAGTTGGGGAGGCATTCCTTGGTCGCCAACCCAAAGGTCTGGATTTTATTTCATGAATTCAAAATTTTTATAAAAGTATAATTGTTAAACAATATTCATGGTTTCAGACGCAAAAGAATGCAATAATAAAGAAACTTTGCAATGCTCTCTTTCTAGAGGTAACAAATACCAATGGAATCTCTCTCTCTCTCTCTCTCTAATGGTTTGTATCAATATTCGGATGAACCAAATTATATGAAACATTTCAGAGGAAAATATAAAACATTATACGAGGAATAAAGCGAAACATCCAAATTATGATCGAAACAGACAGAATTAAAGCAAATTATATGCAAAATTCCAGAGAGAAAAAAATTATACCATGAATAAAGAGAAAATTTCAAATTATGATCGAAACAGACAGCGAATGGAATGTGCGCAGCTTAATTTGGTTGAGAGTCGTCAACATCGAAACAAGTCGTACCTCAATTTGTTGAGAGCCAGCGATAGTTCTTGTTTCCTCCTCCAAACCGAATTCGAAATTGTCTTCATAATCTGGGTAACCACTTTCATTGTCACTGCTCTCGTATTCCTCCACGAAACCGAATTCGAAATCGTCTTCATAATCTGGGTAACCACTTTCATTGTCAGTGCTCTCGCATTCCTCCACGAAAACGAATTCGAAATCGTCTTCATAATCTGGGTAACCACTTTCATTGTCAATGCTCTCGTATTCCTCCATTGAATGGTATGGAAAAGAGCACAAACCCTAAAACTAAAGAGAGTGCGAGACAGAGGGGTTTTTTTAAAAAACAAAAAACAAAACAAAAAAGTTTTGAGGATGGAAGGAGATATATGTAAGGATTAGTTTGAAGCCCGATACAAATCGTGGACGTGGTTTGTCACTTGGTTTATTCAATCTAAAATTCTATATTTATTTAATTATATTTCTACGAAATGAAGAAAGAAAAAAATAATAATAAATGTATCAAATAGGAAAAATATCAGAATGTGAAATATTCAGATTCTATTATTTCCTTTTTAAATATGAAATTCAATGGCTTCATTATTTTATTTAATGACACTTTAATTTTTAAAAAAAGGGAAACTTTTAAAAATATGACAACTTTTATGATAGTGTAGGTTTTTTTGTCCCATTGGTAAAAAATGTTATTTTAATCGTTAGAATAACTTTTTAATAGTCATATTTATAATTAAAAATAATTTTCTGTCGCGCGTCTTAAATTTTTAAAGTGGATTCTCGTAAATTTTGTGGTTAAAAAGTTAATCTTAGAATAACTTTACCAATAAGTAAGACAAAAAGGCTCTACCCTATTATAAATATAGCCAAAAAATAAAGCTACAAAAATGAAATCCCTAAATAACCGGTTTCGTCACTTTCAAGCCCTCCCTAAAGCCGACGAATCAAAACTAGGATATTAACTTTTAAAGTTATGTGTTTTTCGCGTATTAAAAAATTATACTTCTAGTTTTTCGTATTATTTCAAAGCTTTTTTCCACCGTTGGTATCTAAACTTCTCACTCAATAGCAATGTGCTATATGAACTTTTAATTTTAATAGTTAGTCTTTTGAAGTTAGAAATACATAGCAAAAAGACCCTCCAATTGATAACGATGTTCTTTTTCTTTTTTAGTATTGACATGTAACTTGTACACAAGTCGTTACTTATGGGATGAGTAGTATATTTGTTTATTTATTATTAACCTAATTTTATTTTTAAAACAAAGTTAATTCAACATTTTCTATTTTGATTAAAAAAAGAAAAAAATCCTAATCAAAAGCTCTAATCCTACAAAATTTGGTTTCAACAATATATAAAAAAACACTCATGCCATTTATTGTGTGCGCATTACATGTCGATTTCTATCAAAAAAAAAAAAGGAAGAAAATATCATTTTGAAACCCTCTAGTTTAACATTTTATAATTTTAATACCCTAGTGTGGTAAAATATGTTAAGGTGCCTTCACGATGAGGAGATCTTCGCGATGGGTAGGAAATGTTCTGATATCCAAGATAGAACGTTGATGAACTTAGGTCGCTTGCCCTATTCATGAGTAGATCAAAATCAATATCAATCATCGTCACTCGTGGAGACAACTCGTTGCGACAAGATCCCCGGCCAGTGTAGCAATAGCTATCAAATCTCAATCACAATCTCTTTTGTGACCACTCAACAATCTCCTTCGCAATGGATTGTCTTAGCGATTCATGCGACAATCTTTCAGACACATGTCTTCTTAAATAACGTCTATTCCCAGAGACATTATCTTCTCCGCAACAACATTCTAAACATGATAAAGATTGTGGATTGGGGTTTAGGTTTTGACATTTTAGCGATTAGGTTCAATTTGAGAATTTTTGAAAATATTAGGGCTTTTTCTTAAATTTTGAATTAGTATTATTTTAATAAATAAATAATTTTTTTAAAAGTGTTTATCAAAAGAAACAATTAGTAAATAAATTAATATCTTAGTAAATAACTCCATAAATAAATTAGTAAATCCTATAACTTTAGTAGGATTTACTGTAAATCATTTACCAGTAGAACAAGGCTGTGCTCTTTGATAAATATTATAGTCTAAAAAATAATTTGTCTTCCTTTGGTAATCATGTATTTTTTCCATAAATCTATTATTTACGGTGTAAAATAACAATGTGTTCTTGTATAAATTATTTATTTAAACCCTAAATCCTTTATTCACTGTGTTTGATAAAATAACAATGTTTCTAATTTTAGGATAGTTAGAATAATAACTAAGCTCTTTTTTATAAGCATACAAAAAAACAAAACGTTTAATCCACAACTGATATGAGACTAGACAATATATAAGCCCATAAAATATAAAATGTTTACCCAATAATCGATATGGGACTTCGTTTAAAGAGACAACTTGACTTAGGCCTCATTTACTTTGCAGAGTTGAGTTTTTAATTCGAGTTGAGATGTGACATTTTTTGAGAGTTTTTAACTGCAGTAGAAAAAGTTAGATGTGACATTTTCTGAGAGACTTTAACTGTAGAAATCTAAAACTGAAAACTTGAATATGTGAAATAAACGAAGCCTTAATGTTTATGTGTTTGAGTAGGACAAATTGGGGAAAAGAGAGAAATAGCATAATATAGGTTTCAATAAAAATAAGGGAGCCTTTATGGTGAGATCCCTTTAAAAAATCCTCTGTTTTAATCGTTGGATTAAGTTTTCAATTGTCATACTTGCGTAAGTTCGTATTAAAAATTTACAACGCGCCGCACAAAACCACTTCATCTCCAAATCTGACTGTTGAAAACGTAATTCAACAGTCAAAACATGATGTTCGACCGGTGGGATTTTATAGGGAGTCTCACTATAGAAAAAACCTAAAAATAATAGCATAAAGTTTAAAGATAAGAAGTAAATAGCATAATTTTTGTAAATGGGCATTTACCATTTTATAAATACCAAGAATAAGCCTAAACTATTAGAATAGTAGATTTTATAATACAAAAATTTAGTAGGGTCAAATATAGTTGTCTAAAAGTTTTGAGGTTCTAATAATTTTCTATGAATAAAAAAATCTTGACCCCAAATGTTTAGAAATTAAAATTTGACCCTTCCATTTTTAGAAAATTAGAAATTTATTCCTCAACTTTTAGCAAATTATAATTTGATCCTTAATTTTTGGAAATTACATTTAACCCACATTTCAAAAAACTTTGGAAAAAACCATATTAGCTGGTAAATAAAGAATTGACCGAGTAAATTCATCATTTACCACAAGAATTTACTGAGTCGTCAACATCAAAACAAGTCGTATCTCAATTTGTTGCGAGCCAGCGATAGTTCTTGTTTCCTCCTCCAAACCGAATTTAAAATTGTCTTCATAATCTGGGTAACCACTTTTACTGTCACTGCTCTCGTATTCCTCCACGAAACTGAATTCGAAATCGTCTTCATAATCTGGGTAACCACTTTCATTGTCACTGTTATCGTATTCATCCACGAAAACGAATTCAAAATCGCAAGAAAGATAAAAAAAAAGAATAATAATAAATGTTTAAAATAGGAAAAATATCAGCATGTAAAATATTCAGATTTTATTATTTCCTTTATAAATATAAAAATAAATGGCTCCATTTTTAAGAAAGGGAAACTTTTTAAAATAAGGTAATTTTTATAATAGAGCAGATATGACTAGCAATCCAGATAGCGACACGACGATACAATTTGAAACCCGCACGAAATTAGCCGGTTTGTGTTTATCATAAATAGGTTTGGATCAAAATTAAGTCGAACCCGTGAAACACGATTAAGTAGCGCGTTGTTTTCAGGTTGACCCGCCAACTTGCAATTTCCCTGCCATAACTAGTTTATTAAACGTGTAATCTTTGGATAATACGAATACACAACACAATTACAACTCGTTTGTTGCCTATGTTTACAAATACATTTTTTTTTTTTGAAGAAAAACAGATTGAGAAATAGGTTGACACAACCTTATTATCACTCATTTTATAAACAGGTTATTAGAAACAGGTTGACACGATAATATTATGACATGTTTAATAAACGAGTTAGTCGTGTCAACCCACCAATATACAGGCCGTGTTTGGGTTTTGTATTTCGACACGAATAATAAATTAGTCGTGCTCGTGTCAGGTCTTACCATGTCAAGCACGACATGACAACACGAATTGTCACCCCTAAGAGCAGGCTTTTCTATCCTACCGGTAAGAAATACTATTTTAATCGTTAGATTAACTTTTCAATGGTCGGATTTATGATTGGAAATAATTCTGTATTGCGCGTCTTAAATTTTTAACATGGACTGTCGTAAAGTTGACGGTTAAAAAGTTAACCCTAAAACAACTTTACCTATCAGTAAGGCAAAAAAGCCCTACCCTATCATAAATATTACTAAAAAATAAAGCCACCAAAATGAAACCCTAAATAACCAGTTTTGTCACTTTCAAACTGTAGCGACCCTCTTTTGAGGCCGCCACTGTAACTAACTTTTTAACTTGTACTTACTGAAATTTCTTAAAATTTACGGAACATTTTTTTTTTTAAAGGTCTTATAATAAACATAAGATACAAAATTGCTTTCTTAATTAAAATATTTAAACCTTAACATATCTGTTTCAGAATCATAATTAACAAAACTATTTATAACATAAAGCTGATTGCGGAAATATTTGCGAGTGGTATCCATATCCCGAGCCCCACATCGTCCGTCCACTCGCCAGTAGTCCATCAGGCATTATATGCCGGTTGCTTACCTACAGTATAAACATTCTATAATGAGCTTTCGCTCAGCAAGTAGGAACTATCTCTCGCAAAATAACTGTAAGTTCACATGAATAAATATGCATGAGCCAATTATGCTTAATTATGATGTCTTATCAGAATCTTATTATCTTATCATATCTTTCTTACTGATGGGTGCGAGTGCTCGTACCACTTGCGCGCAATCATCGGGACGTGAGGTTTGCAAGGTCCCCCATGACACCGTGATTATAACTTGAATGCCTCTCTTGAGTCGGAGGACATCATTATTATTATTATTTTTTTCTCCCTTGTGGAGCTTGAGTTATCTCCCTTGTGGAGGCTGGTACGGCACTCAACTGAGATTACTCTTATAAGTTCCTCTTGACTTATTAAGGTGTATGCAATATGACCTAGCATAGCATACTATATCATGTACTCGAACACATATAATTCGGGTGTACTGTCTAAGTGGATGTAGTATAACATAGCATAGCATTCATAACATTAAATGTACTCAAACATATATAGTTCATGTGTACTGTTTACTTTAAAATCTATTTATACTGTAGGCGAGATTCGTACTTACTTGATTTT